TTCGGGTTTTTGGGGGATGTTGCATAGCAGGCAACCCACCCGCAGTAGATGTGCTCGGTGTGAGGTCTCGCAGCAAGCTATCAAATACGGCGCATTTCTCGGCTTTTAAAAAAACGCTATGCGTCGCCAGGTGTTTCATTAGATTCGAGGTGTTACCTCCTTTGACAGTATCACAGTATCAGCTTAAAGCACTTGTTGCTGCTGAGTTTGCATCTTTTGCTGTGAAGTACAGCCAGACTTTTGACCGCTTCGCCTTGGGCGTTTTTAGCGCTGCTCTAAAAGAACGGACGTACCTGGGCCCGCCTACTATCCTTGGAAAGGTAAAACGATTATCTAGAATCCAAAGTGTATCACAGCTCAGGAAAAAAAAGCACCGAAATGTGCGCTGCTTTTCGGTCTGGTTACTACCGTTTATGTCAGAACAGGTGCCATCATGGCACCGGATACCGGGACCCATCCCTCGTGTCCGCACAAGTGATTGTTGGTTCTCACAAGTATGGTAGAATGCAGATTTCGGTCCTCACAAAGATAGCTAGACAGGAACACACACACACAGAGTAACCTGAGGTTGTTTCTCTGCAGACTGTGAGTGTAACGTGGCGGGGACGGTGAGCGCCGTGGCTGAGTGTGCTCAGGTGAGTCAGCTGACCTCAGGTAACCTGTGGTGTTAGTGAATGTTTGTTCACTGATTGGTCGGTGAGCGGTTGCAGGAGGTCGCTGCCTGTTTGGGTTTTTTTTTCCTGTATTCGTTCCCTTTCTCTAATAAAGTCCTGGCTGCTGCTGTTGTCATGCTAATGGTTGAGATGGTTTGTTGGTGTGTGCAGGAGAGCGGTCAGTGCCACTGTAAGCCCAACGTCTGCAGCGGAACCTGCTCCACCTGCAAAGATGGCTTCTTCAACCTGCAGGAGAGCGACTACTTTGGCTGCCGGGGTGAGCGGTGCTCTGAGCACTCAGGTACAGGTGTGCTGTTTCAGCTGTTAACCTGTTGTTTTTTCAGGGTGTCAGTGTGACATCGGTGGCGCCGTGGGTCCTTCGTGCGGCGAGAGGAGCGGCCACTGTCGCTGCAGACCCAGCGTGGAGGGGCCAAAGTGTAACCTGTGAGTTCAGCACACCTCAGACAGATTTCAGGAAGTTTAACTGCAGTGAAGCTAAGTTAGGACTCCATTTCCCATAGTTCTAGTCTCCTGTAACAGACAGATGTGGTTAAATGTAGAGATGTCTGTCGTTGCCTCGGGTCGTCACGGCCTGAGTTTCTGTAGTTCTTCAGTCCGTGTTTCATCCCAGCATGCCTGTGCGTTTCACTTCATTGAACTTCCTGTGCCGGCAGACCTCGTCCGGATCACTACTTCCCTGACCTCCATCACCTGAAGTTTGAGATTGAGGAGGGAAGCATGCTGGACGGCCGGCCGGTGAGATTCGGCTACAACCCCCAAGAGTTCCCCAACTTCAGCTGGAGAGGTTATGCTCAGATGTCCCCAATTCAGGTAGGACCATAACCTTTGACCTTTTCTGTTGGCCACACCCCTAATGGTGCAAACTCGATTGTAGAGAAGATTATCCACCAAACACTGACTCAGTGCTGCCTCTGCTGGACGGCAGAGGAACAGCAGACACACATGAGCTGTAGGATGTTTTTCATCCTTATTGGAAGGATCTGATTGACGTTGTTTAAAATAATGTGTGAGTGTGTGCAGTTATTGTGTAATTATGTTACTGTGGCCCAGCTGCATGTTGTTGGGACATGTCGCAGGACTGCGTCTCAGCTCTTGCATGCATTTCAAATGTTTGCTTCCTGTCCCGTGTGAGCGTAGCAGACAGACTGTATTATGTCGCTTTGTCCTGGTTTCTGTGTCGGTGTTTTCTGTCGTCTCTGCCTCCTTTACTCAGCGTCTCTTTTGCTCTTCCTTCTCCTGCCCCTCGTCTTCCTCCTTCTCTTTCCTCCGCTCTGTGCGCCTCCTCTGATCCTCTACTTTGCTCCTCGTCCTGCTCTCTGCTCCCTTGGTAGTCGAAGGTGTTGGTGTCGGTGTCGGTCGACTCTCCGGACGTCTTCTTTGTGGTGCTGCGTTATGTTAACCGGCGAGGTTCGGATGTTTGGGGCCGGATGACGGTCGTGGAGGATGGCCGGAGCCACCACTGCGGGAACTGTAAGTGCTGGGAGGGGACTCTGTGTTTCCATGGCAGCGCAGGAATCAGGAGAGGTGGGAAGTCTTCTTACTCTCTCTCGATTTCCTCGCGACGCTTCGGTCTCTGCGCTTCGGCTGCGTTTGGCTGCTGGTGGTGGCGGCGCCGTGTCTTTCCTCAGGGCCACAGATCAGTGCAGGTTTCAGGGATTTGAGGACAAATGTTGATCTTGTCTGCCCTCCAACCTCCCTCTCCCCTCCCTCCTGTCCTCTGTTTGGACGATGTCCTCGTAGACTGCGGTGAGGCTTCAGGTTTATATGAGCGAGGCAGACGTCTATCTGACTCGTTTCATCCTCAGATACATAAGCTCTGAGGGCACCACCACCAAGGGTAAAATAACAGCCTATCAGGGCAGCCGCAGAGGTAGGTTCTCCACCAATCGCATGAAAGTATCAGTAGAAGTTGAGTAGCAGAGCAGCAGAGGGGAGGAATGCGTGTTGTGCTCATTCCTAACGTCTCGGTTTGTGTCCAAGGCTCCGAACAGTCCAAGCCGATCGTCTTCGCTCCCAGCGTGGAGCCGACCTTCGTCAACGTTCCCTTTGTGGAGCCCTTCGTGCTGAACCCGGGAACCTGGACCGTGGTGATCGAGGCGGAGGGAGTCCTGCTGGTGAGACGCAAACACGTGCAAATACACAGGTGGTGACAAATCATGGCTCAGCTGTTTGTAATTCTGAGAATGAGGCTGTGTAAGCTGCTGCTGCACACCTGTAAACCACTTTGCAACCCACCGCCACCCCAGTGAGGAGGCCTCCGTGCTGCTCCCCTCACCACGTGTGCACAGGGAATGACTTTTGCTGCTCTATCCTGCAGGATTACCTGGTGCTGTTGCCCAGCGCCTACTACGAAGCTCCCATCCTGCAGATCAGAGTGAGCGAGCCCTGCACCTACAGCCCCGCCCCCGACGCCAGCCAGAAGTAAATACGCTCACGTCATTCATCTTTTGTTAGTGGTTCTGTAGCGTCGTGTTTACACACATCCCTGGCGCGAGCCCGGAGGGAGGAGCAGATGTTTAGATGCGTTGATGTGTGTGTCTCTCTCTCAGCTGTCTGCTCTACAAGTACCTGTCTCTGGACTCCTTCCCCTCCATCTCGGGCAACGATGCCAGCTGCCGCAACGACAACCACCTGCCCCGCCCCTGCCCGACCGAGAAGGTTTCCCCGCGTCACCCCGACATGGCCGTCTGCAGCGGTTTGGATGTAAGACAGCCGTGAAATGTGTCCACAGGTGAAACGTGCAGGTTAAATTAACGTCTTCGGTTTCTGCGCAGATCAGCGTCGAGCTGCGAGGGCGCCTCTCGTCTCCGGGCGACTACGTCCTGGTCCTCGAGTATTCCAGCGAAGAAGAGCTTCCTCAGACGCTGTCCGTCACTGTCAACGTGCCGGGAGCGAGAATGCACCGACACAGAGTCACCTTGCTGCAGTGCAGATACAGGTAAGCTGCAAGGCTCCTCCCCCCACTACAGAGAAGGACGTGTTTGAAAGCGCGCTGCCTCATGCTAAGTCATTTAAATGTGTGTGCGTGCGTGCGTGTGTAGCTTCCTGTGTCGAGTCGTGGCCGTCGACGAGCGGAACAGAGTGGCGGTCTTCTCCCTCCCCTCAGACGCAGAGATCCAGCTGACCGCTGACCGAGCCACCTTCTTCCTGGTGAGAGTCACTCTCGCATCACATGATCGGTCACCTGATCAGCTCGATCCTAATGTGTGTTGCACATGTGTTTCAGCACAAAGTGTACCTGGTGCCCAGACAGCAGTTCAGCATGGAGCACGTAGCCCCGCGCGTCCACTGCATCGGCACGCACGGACACTTCTCACCTGACAGCTCCTCCTGCGTCCCCTCACGCTTCCTGACCCCGTCAGACTCTCTGTTCCTGAAGGAGGGCCAGAGCTCCTCCACCCTGCAGGAGCCCGCCTCCCCTGCTGCTGCGCCTCCTCTGAGAGAGGAGCCAGACTGGATGGGATTGGAGAGACCGCCGTTCGGAGCGGAAAACACCGACCACGTGCGGCTGGACTCGCTGCAGGTACTGATGGTGATGGGGCGTGTTGTTGGGGGGTGTTTAGTTTAGATATGCGTGACGTCGCACGCGATCCGTTTTTATCTCAGGTGAAACATAACGGAGTTACAGAACCCGACTGAGACGTGCACACATTTTAAAGGATCGATAAAAATCCCACGAATGTGTCTGACACCGTAATCATTCCTCTCCCGTCGCCTCCTTTACCCAGAATGCAGTGATGTACTCTGCCCGGGTCCATGCCCTCGGCCGCTACGTTTTCATCCTCCACTACCACCAGCCTCTGCACCCCACCTACCCCGTACAGGTCTTCATTAACGGGGGGCGGATCTGGCAGGGTAAGGACACAGTCTGATCCTGGATCTGCTGCATCACCGTCAGTGATGACAAGCTAGTCAGGTTATTCTCACCACAGACTGTATATAAAAGATGGACATAAACCTGTGGCTGGAGTTTGAGGCTCAGTTTTCAAAGCTGTAATGAAACATGTTCAGACTGCATGTGCATCACACACACAGCGATACCTGCTAATCAGTAACATCCAATCAAAATCATGAATCTCACTGTGCATCAAAACTGGAGCTCCGCCCTGTTATTGGTCACATGATGTCACTAAAAATGCTCCTGAAGGCTCCAACAGCACAAACAGGCCCAGAGGTCAGGTGAAGCTAGCAGACAGCTAGCAGCTACAGCCGCCTGTCAGTAACAGAGGCCACGCCCCCAATAATGCAAACTTTTAGGCTTAAAATCATTTAGAAGCCTGTGGGACTGACTCACTGCTGCCTCTGCTGGGCATCAGAGGAACTGCAGCTTCTGGTGCTGGGGGCTGATGATTGGCTCTATTTTGTTCCTGTTTCTCAGGACACGTCAACGCCTCGTTCTGTCCTCACGCTTACGGCTGCCGTGACGTCCTGGTGTCGGAGAATCAGATCATTCTGGATGTGACGGACCACGAGCTACTCGTCACGGTGCAGATACCTGGGGGGAAGACGCTGTGGCTGGTCAGTGTCGCTGCTCTGCATCACAGCTACGCTTGATGCTGCAGAATGACGTTCAGGGATAGTTTTTTCCTTTGAGGTGGAGATGAGGCAGCAGCTGACGTTCTTCCTCGTGTCTGCAGGATTACCTGCTGGTTGTTCCTGAGTCGAGCTACAGCTCCAGCTACCTGAGCGAGGAGCCGCTGGACAAATCCTACGACTTCATCAGACTCTGCGGTCAAAACAGCTTTTACATCAGGTGAGCGGGTGAAGATGCTGGGCAGTAGTTTAGCGTGTTAGCGTCATCCCCACAGGTGTGAACTCTTCCTCTCTCCCGCAGTCCCTCCTCCTCGCCGTTCTGCCTCAGCTCGGCCATATCTCTGTCAGCCTTCGTCAACAACGGCGCGCTGCCCTGTGCCTGCCACGAAGTCGGAGCTGAGAGCGACACCTGCGAACGCTTTGGCGGTCAGTGTCGCTGCAGGCCCAACGTGATTGGACGAGACTGCTCCACGTGTGCCACGGGTTACTGGGGATTCCCCAACTGCAGACGTGAGTGTTCGCCTGAACAGATCATTCACCATCTCACCTTTCCTGTATTTTCAAGTCGTCTTTAAGCAGAAAAATGGAACAACTGAAGTGTGCAGACGAGTGTAAGGCTGCGCGATGAAACGCTGCAGGGACGGCGTCCGAGATTCACACTTATTTATTCATAAAACTTTTATTTTGCTGTGAAGAAGGCGCGTGGGGTTTTTCCTGTCTCGCTCCCTTGTGTTCCTGCTCTCACTCACCTTCCCGTGTCACCTGCAGCCTGTAACTGCGGTTCGAGGTTGTGCGAGCCGGTGACGGGGGACTGCATCTGCCCGCCGAGGACCGTCCTCCCAGAATGCACCGAGTGCGAGCCTCAGACGTTTGGCTGCCACCCGCTGGTGGGCTGCGAGGTCTGCAACTGCTCTCACGCTGGCATCATCGCGCCCGATGTGAGCTGCGACACGCTCAGTGGGCAGTGCAGGTAAGACGAACAGGAAGCGACCTCAGGACAAAGAGGGGTTGTGTGTGTTTGTCTCGCTCCGGTGGCTGTGTGCTCTCTGAAGCTGCCAGGTTTAAACTTTCCGACTGCCTGATCCTCTGCAACATTTCTTTGTGAAGTTTCTATAATTTTACAAACTCCGAGGTTTTTTTGGATAGCTCAATTTCAGATTGATACCTCTCTCGTGTCCGTTATGCACGTTTTCACCACCAGGGGGCAGATCAACTATGTTGCTGCCATCTCATGTGCAATATCTCAGTCTTTCCTTGTTCTGTGCAACATTTTGGTCTCAGTGGAATTACCATCCCCACCCCAAATGAGCATAGCCCCTCCACTCTTATTTATTTATTTAATATATTATATAACTGCCCTGTATACAGCCCCACAATGTTTCTGTTTCAGTGTTTCTACGCATACACCATGTATATAGTTTACTCACATATATCTATACATAGATTTTGCTTTTTTTCCTCGTTGTATATTGTTTTCTTTACTTTTGCACCTTTGTGGTTCACTGTGCAAGAAACCGCACAATGACAATAAAAAGCTCTAAAGTTTATTTTGTTTATAACCTCATTTCTCTTCCGCCTCCTTTCCTAAGGCTGCCATCACACAAGAGAACAGCTTCTTAATGATCTAATGTAATCAAGCTCACGCTGACCCAGTGCACCACCTTGTGGTGAACAGTGTTATTACCCTAGACTGCAGCTGTAGGTGTCTTTCCTCACTTCTCACACACAGGTATTCATTACGCTTACTGTAAACCTCACAATAGCCTAACTGTGACCATGACACAAAAAATGTCCTCAAACTTGTGGAGACGGATATTTTGGTCCCCACAAGGCTGGTAAACTTCCAATTTTGATCCCACAAAGATGTGAGTACATGCTCACACACACAGACAGAGGTCAAAGGTTATAGAAGCTGAGATTCGGCACAACGTTTTCTGTTTCCAGATGTCAGAACAACATCGTCGGACGTCAGTGCGACCGCTGTGCCCCCGGTTTCTACGGTTACCCCAACTGCAGACCATGTGACTGCAACGAGGCGGGGGCCGAGGAGGAAGTGTGTGACCCGTCCACAGGACAGTGTCTCTGCAAGGTTTGCACTCACGTACACAAACGCACAAACGTACACGAGTCTGTCATGTTTGTGTGTCTGACATTGCTGTATGTGTGCGTGCGTGTGTGTGTGTGTGTGTTCCCCCTGCAGGAGAACGTCCAGGGTCCTCGCTGTGATCAGTGCAGAGATGGTACGTTCCACTTGGACCCGACCAACCCAAAAGGATGCACCAGCTGTTTCTGCTTCGGAGCCACCGGCCGCTGCCACAGCTCCAGCATGAGGCGCACCGAGGTGCTCGTCTACATCCCATAATATGCTTGTTTTGTTAAATACAACCTGATGTTTGTGGTAGTTTTTCTGCAGCGAGCTGATCCTGACTCGAGCTCACAGAGTTTCAGAAAGCTGCTGAATGCTGTGACGTTTCCACATGCTCACTGATTTACTGACTTTGAGCCTCACAGCAGCCGCGTCGTCTCTGCAGGTCATGGACATGGAGGGCTGGGTGCTGCTGGGAGCCGACAGGCAGGAAGTCCCCGTAATCGTGTATCCAGATCAGGACCTGGTAGAGGCCGACATCACCGACGTGCCCGATGTTTATCAGGAGCTGTACTGGCACGCTCCGAACACTTACCTGGGAGACAAGGTGAGTTATTCCAGTTAAAGATCAGTCAGGTGCTGTAAGAACCGGGCGGGTAGTTGGAGTCTGAACACGCCTTTATCTGATGGATCTGTGTGCACTCAGAGAGGATGAGGGTGAAGATGAGCCAGCAGTGAGCCTGAGCCGTCTCCAGGTGCAGATCTGTTTTTAAAGCTTACGGCCTCACAGAGTCCCAGAATCCCTCGCTCTGTTACAGACACGTCCCACACAGCCGACCAAAGGCTCAGACGGAGATCAGCAGCTTTCATGTGTGAAAGCGTCACCCTTTATTCTGACGGTTAAATCCCCCGCTGTTACGCTCCAACGACCGGCTTCAGATGGCAGCCTGCTGCAACCTGCATGCGCGCAGCAGACGTGCAGGTTTTATCTGTCGCAGATAAACTGCAGGCCGCGCTTTGTGTTTCATCAGCCTGTACGCCGCGTGGTGCTCTGTTTGTGTCTGAGCTTTGATCTGCTCCTGTCTGCACAGGTCTCCTCCTACGGAGGCTATCTCAGGTACCGTCTGCACACGCAGACCATGAGAGGAGACGTGCTGCCTCTGCCCGCCGAGGCCCCGAAACCCGACATCATCCTCAAGGTGCAAAGCACGCACACGCACGTGCACACACAGACACACACACCTGTGCCCTCTCATATGTAGCGTTAGCTGTGTGTTAGCATGCTGACAGCTTTACTTCCTGTTTCTGTTGTCCAGGGTAACCAGATGACCCTGGTGTTCATGGAGAGAGAATACTCGTCCCCTGAGGAGCCTCACCTGGGCATCGTCCACATCGTTGAGGTAACGTCACCTGTGCATTCTTCTGTGATATTAGAAAGCTGTTGACTCCTGACCCCATGAGAGGCCTCAGGAAGCCGTTTTAGAGGTTCCCTGTAAACACTTGTGCAGCGTAAGCTCTGGTCAGCTAGTGCACCTGTACCTGTCACTCAGCTGATGTCAGAATGTGACCTCACAGCGGAGCCGATGACGATGTTTTCTTCGTGTCCTTCCTGTGCTTACAGGGAAGTTTCCGTCACTTTCGGACCGGTAACCCGGTGTCCCGAGAGGAGCTGATGATGGTTCTGGTCGGGCTGGAGTCTCTGCAGATCCGAGCCCTGCACTCCCAGTCAGCCCAGTCCGTGTCGCTGCGTGGCGCCGTGCTAGAGGGTGCAGAGAGCCTGCCTGTTGGACGCCACGCCAACAATGTGGAAATCTGCATGTGTCCCGCCAACTACCTGGGAGACTCATGCCAGGTGAGGGACGGGGTTTGGATCTGGGTTTGTTGGGGTGGTGACTCGCAAAGAGGAGGCGGTGATGGCGGATAAAGGTTAAAGGTCGTGATGTGTGTGTGCAGAGATGTGCTCCGGGGTACTACAGAGACACCATCGGCCTGTTCCTGGGGAAGTGTGTTCCCTGTAGCTGTAACGGACACTCGGACCAGTGTTTGGATGGATCTGGGATCTGTGTGGTGAGGAGCTCTGATTGCACGCTGCCTCCTGACGTCCTCTCGCTCTGATGTCACGGATCTCTAACCATTCTTGTCTCTGTCCGTCAGAACTGCCGGCACAACACGGCCGGCGACCACTGTGAGACGTGCCAGGGGGGGTTCCTAGGTAACAACAGCGTGGATGGTCAGGCCGTGACGTGCTCCAGCTGCCCCTGCCCGCTGAGAGCTCCATCCAACAAGTCAGTACCTCCACTCCCTATGCCTCAGCCCATTCCTGTATGTTTGTTGGGAATACTGGGAATTTAGCATGAATTTAAGGTTCAATGATTCAGGCGCATTTAGTGTTTAGTCATCAGTAAATATGGAAGCTGAAAATGTTAAAGGCCCCACATTGCTGCCCTGAGGAACGCCACAAGTAACATTTCCTGTTTTTCAAACTAAGAGTCTCCCACGTGCTTTGATGCTGTCCTGATTTGTAGTTTTTCACTCTTCTTCCTTCCTGTCTGTCTGTAGTTTTGCAGAGGGCTGCGTGCAGAGAGGTGACAGCATGCAGTGTCGCTGTATGCCCGGCTACGCCGGACCGAACTGCGAAAGGTAAACGAGTGGAGCCGCGCTCCAGACGTCCGTACTAAACATGCTCCTCACAGTGAGGTCAGCGGGCGACCTCGTCTCCAAATACTCAGGGTTCAGGAGCTCCACCCATGTAAGAGGGCCAATCAGAAAGAATGTTGGTCTGCAGGGGGAGGAGCTTAAACAGCCTGTTTCAGACAGAGGATGAAGTGAGGGCTGATGGTGCTGAAATCACCCTGAAACGTTCTCAGTCATTAAGAAATCAAATAAAAATTAATAATTTTATGAAATGAATGATAAAGTTAAATATACAAACTAATGATGCTGGTAGGAAGGAAAACGCCACACGCTGTGTATCCATCATAATCATCAGGTATTTCAGTTAAAAATGCTTCACCTGTCGGCCTCTCTCACAGGTGTGCCCCAGGTTTCTACGGCAACCCGGTGGTTCTGGGCAGCCGGTGTCAGACGTGCGATTGCAGCGGGAACTCGGACCCCAACATGCTGTTCACCGACTGCCACCCGCTGACGGGACACTGCCTCAGCTGCATGCACAACACGGCCGGGCCGCGCTGCGAGAGCTGTGCCCCCGGTTACTACGGCGACGCCATTAACGCCAAAAACTGCACCCGTGAGTTCGGCGTCCCGCGGTCACGTGATCAGGTTTGGCAGTGCAGGCTGCAGGTGGATTCAGCGTGTGTGTGCTTTCTAATGCAGAGTGTGACTGCTCTCCGTGTGGAACCGAGTCATGTGACCCGCACAGCGGACAGTGCCGCTGCAAGCCCGGAGTCACCGGGCCGCTCTGCGATCGCTGCGAGGTGAGAGCGCTCTCTGAGGTCACATCACCACAACATCTGTCATTTAAACACGGCCGCCATGTTGGAAGTGGTCTAGAGCCGCACGAGGAGTCGACAGTGATCCACGCGGCGGCGCCATCTTTAGAACATATGAATGTAGCTCAGACTGTCACAGAGTGATGACAGAAAGAGGTCTGTGAATACTTTTTAAAAACATACATACAACGGAAACATACGTTTTTCTAAATGAGTCACAAAAAAACGAGCCGTATAAGAGGAGAAACGGCGTGCTGGGTCAGGTGATTCATGATGTAACGAGGTCAGAGGTCAGTCCTGCGGTTGGTGACGTGTTTGCTCAGTTTCAGAACACGTATGTTATTCTAAAATGCTCATTCAGATTATTGTTACTCCTCCTCTCAGGATGGCTCGTTTGGCTTCGACTCGTGCTCCGGCTGCCGTAAGTGTGACTGTGACGCCGCTGCGGCGCTCGTCCAGCCGTGTGACCCTCAGAGCGGTCAGTGCGCCTGCAGGCCTGGAGTGAGCGACTCGAGCTGCCGGCAGTGCGCTCCTGGATTCTGGGACTACGGACCCAACGGCTGCAAGAGTGAGGAAACACAAACATCATCACACAAAAGAGGGGTAGGCGGGAAGGTTGGCGGGAAGGTTGGCGGGAAGGTTGGCGGTCCGATCCCCACCTGCTCCAGTCTGGTTGCCAAATATCCTTGGGCGTGATACTGACCCCAAGCTGCTCTCTGAAGCCTCCCTGTGCATGTGACTGTTAGAAAGCAAGAGCTCAGGTAGATTAGCACAGGAACATCTACTGTGTGACACACACACAGATACCTGCTAACACCATGCCGCCATGTTATTGGTCAGATGATGTCATTAAAGGCTCTGACGGCCTTTAATGACATCATCTAACCAATAACAGATGATGTCTGTCAGTGTGAGGCAGCTGCAGCGGCCTGATCAGTCACTGCGCTGCATGTTGGTGTGTTTAACCTGAAGCCCCTCCCTCACCTGCAGAGTGTGACTGCAGAGGAGGACACTGCGACCCGCGCACAGGAGAGTGTCGCTGTCCCGACGGGATGACGGGCCGACAGTGTGACGTCTGTTTGCAGAGGTACAGCGTCCCGACGGAGGACCTGCACGGCATCCACTGCGAGCGTGAGTCTCACACACTCAGAGGCTCTTTGCAGCGTTTGTAATCCGGTGAAGCTCAGCGTGTGCGTTTTTCTCTCAGTGTGCGACAGCTGCGTCGTCGTGCTGCTGGAGGATCTGGAGAGGCTCGACGACGACTTCTTGTCGGCGTCGGCTCGGCTGAGGAGCCTGAACGCCAGCTCCGTGGCCCGGGCTCAGCTGCAAAGCCTCGACAAGTCCATGGAGGACGCCGCTGTGAGTTCACGCACAAGCACACACCTGAGGCTGCGAGCACCGTGCTGCAGGGGCACTAATCAAACTCACTTTCCCATGATTCAGCGGGCCATTGAGGACTACAACAACACACTGCAAGACAGCCTGAGTCGCACCGACATGCTGGAGGCAGAAATCAGCACCATCAGTGAGGACATCGACGAGCTGCAGAACAAAGTGAGGAGCGCACACACACACACACACACACACACACACGCGATTGTTCCGATGGTCCAGATCCACACTTTGGGAGCGCCTCCTGTAAAGGCCCGCTCTTCTCTGAGCTTTAATCCTGAGCCAGGGCAGCGAGGAGGGCGGGGTCTGCTGTGTCTCCGGTGGTGCATTCACGGGTGATCGGAAAAACCTGACTTCATGATGCAGACCTGTCACCGGGCCGTAGGCTAACGCTAACATTCCAGACTCACGGCGACGATTCCTCGACGCCAGTTCGGTTTCCGTTTGTTCAAACTGTCTGTCGACGTTTTACAGGCAGCAGGAAGAAGAGCACACAGGTTTGTATCACACGTGCGTCATTAACACACATAAAATCTGACAGCTGTCTTTTTTTCCAGACGTCGGCAATGACCAGCCGGGTCGGCGAGCTACACAGTGGCACAAACAGAACGTACCGGCGGGCCGAGGATGTGTTGTCCCTCCTCGGGAACGTGAGCGCCAATATAAACGGTACGGCGTGAGAACAGAGTTTCAAATCTGAAGACCTGACAGGAGGCAGAGCGATGCTTGGACCCTTGTGCTTGTGTGTCCACAGAACTTCTGCTGAGGTCGAACAGTTCTTCGCTAAACGAGACGGAGGCAGAGGAGGATGGCGAGGAGAGGGAGAGGAAGATGAGGGAGGTGCAGGCCATGCTGAGGGAGATGAGGCACAGGAGCTGCACAGGTCAGAAGAAGATGGCCGACAAAGAGAAGGCAGAGGCTGAGAAACGTAAGTTTATTCATTTTAATCAGCTGTGATGAGCACGCTCAGTCTAACCAACAGACCGATCTGACGAGAGAGACGACCTTCAAAGTAAAACAGGAAAGTAGGGCTGCACGATTAATCGTTAGAAAATCGCGATCTCGATTCATACTTATGTGCGATCTCATTTCCAAATGACAACGATTTTTAAAAAAAAGACGACGATTGTACCGCATTTTGATCCGGGACGTAATCTGCATGAAAACAAGCGCTCACTCTTCCTGCTCAACAAATGACAAGGGCGGAGCCTTATACCACGTGATACAGAAGCTGTGCCGTGTGATGCTAAAATTAGCAGGGAAACAACAACGGAGAGCACGTCAGGGATGACGAGAAAGTGACAGGAGAAGATCCGTCCCGGTCAACCACCCAAACATCAATAACAGGAACCTTATACAGCGCTTCCCTATACCTGTCGACCTCCCGCAGGCACAAAGACATTACGGAGGCTATCACTTATCACCTGACCAAAGATATGGCTCCATCAACACTGTGCAAAACGAGGGATTTAGGAAAACGATCAACACCCTAGACAAACGCTGCACAGTGCCGTCCCGCAACTATTTTTCTATTGTTGCACTACCTGCTCTGTACACGCAGCGTCGAGCAACGGTGGAGACGGAATTTCAAGCAGTACAACATTTTGTTGTTTTTATGTTTATTTATTGTTTTTATGTTCAGTCTCAACTGTTACGAAGTTGATGTGCAGTTAATAAGTGCAATAAATATTTATACTGGAAAAGAGAATCGTGAGAGAATCGTGATCTCAATTCTAAGCCAAACAATCGTGATTCTCATTTTATGCAAAATCGTGCAGCCCTATAAACAAGAGAACTAATACAGAACCAGGACATTAACACAGGAAGAGACCGAACTTACCCAAACTCTGCATGAAGCAGAATTCGCAGAACGGGATGAAACATTCGACAGTGTCAGGAGGAACCAGACGCCCTCTGAGAAGACATGAACATCAGATCAGGGTCACAGACGACGAGTTAAACTTCCAGCAGCTCGTCGGACCTGTGAACCAGCTCACACCTGCCCGAGAACGAGGGATGAAGTATCTGCTGCAACATCTGGATGTTTGATGGTTTTATTAAATGTCTCTGACTCGCTGCTGATGTCACTTCAGCGTTTAAAAGCTAATGAGCAGGTTTGTGTTTGAGCTGACAGGACCGCCCGTCTGTGTCTTGTGTTCTCGTAGTGTTGGATCGGGTCAGCAGGCAGCTGGTGGACCGTCACGAGGAAAACGACAACCTAACTCGATCCATCAGTGACCGTCTCTCCCGCCTCCACGCTGACACGATGGACCTCCGAGACGCCCTGAATGAGGCCGTGAACAACACGGCGAGAGCTGCCGAGATCAACAACGCCAACGAGAAAAGCCTGGACGACCACAACGTAAGAGCAGCAGAGGAAGGAACATGGAGAACGTGGAGAACACCAAGTGATGACTAACCGCTGTCTGTCTGTCTGTCAGAGGAGGGTGGTGGACCTGCAGATGAAGTCAACCGAGGTGAGAAAACAGCTGAACGTGTCTGCAGATCACCTTCATCAAGTCAACAACGACGTGTGGTCCATGGTGCAGAACTCCAAAGAGGTTTGAATGTCACACATTAAACTTGTCTGTGTGTGCATGCGTCACAGATTTACAGGGGCCGCTTCATCTTCAGCACAGCCGTGATTCAGCCCTCAAAGTGTTCTCAGTCTGCCGGAATCTACGTCCTAACTACTAACAGTGCTAACACCTGCTAACACCTACTAACAGTGCTAACACCTGCTAACACCTGCTAACAGTGCTAACACCTGCTAACAGTGCTAACACATGCTAACACCTGCTAACAGTGCTAACACATGCTAACACCTGCTAATGGTGAACCATGGCTGGTTACAGCTCACAGATCTGAGGCTGGAGCTCGGACTGTTTCGTTGCTCTGGCAGGCTCAGAATCAGAATTCTTGTTGAAGATCAAAAACTTTCTTCTTTAGGTCTTTACCTCCCCTTGACCAGGCTACGTCCCCTTCAGCTCTTTCTCTCCCTCAGGAGTACGAGCACCTTGCAGCTCAGTTGGATGGCGCCCGGATGCTGCTGGCCCAAAAGGTTCAGAATTTGTCTCAGACTAACTCTAAAATCCCGCTGGTGGAGAAGGCGGAGAAGCACGCTGAGCTACTCGGCGCCCTGGCCATGAACCTGTCCAGGTAGGTGTACGACATTTAGTTTTTGTGCTTCATGAAACCAAACCAAAAGCTGTGTGCGTCTGTCTGCAGTTTGATCGCAGAAACAAAGAAGGACGGATTCATAGACGTAACGCAGTCGTACAACAAGATCGTCGTCAGCATCGAGCAGGCCGAGGAGGCCGCCAAGATGGCCAGCGAGGCTACCAACAGCACATTAGAGGTAAAAAAAAAACCAAAATCACAAGTTTGTCCTTTGAGGTGACTTTAAAAACCGAAACTGAAAGTGTGTTGGTCTTGTTTTCAGAGCGTGAAGGGCCAGAACCTCGGTCAGAAGGCGGAGTCTCTGAAGAACCACAGCATGGATCTGAAGGATGAAGTGGAGAAGCTGAATGATGACCTGAACACCAGTAAGCCCAGTTTGGATTGCAGAGATTCATAAATGAACCCTTTCATCTTCAGTTTGCATCACCTTCGTTTTTCTGCTGCAGCTCTGAGGCCACGACTGGAAGATGCTCAGCGCCGGCTCCAGGACGCCAAAACCAAACAGGTTCAACTGACCGAGGACCTGGAGGCGCTCCAGAGCAACCTCAACGCCACCAAAAGTACGACTGTTTAAAACACGTTGCGCTTACACAATTTGGGTATTTAAGGTTTCCCACGTGACTCCTCACCGCTCACGGCTTCCTGTCGTCTTCTTCTTCTGTGCTGCTCAGACATCAGTGCACAGGTCAACGAAGCCAAGCAAACAGCGGCTAAGGCAAACAGGACGGCCACCGGCATCAACGACACCCTGCGTCCTATCAAAGAGAAGCTGGATGAATGGCAGCACACTTACGGAGACGCCAACGCCACGAGCGAGGACATCAACACCGCCCTGATGGACGCCAACAACACCGGTGAGTGATAAACGCTCGCTGCCATGCGCTGTGGGGATGGTCGAAAGATTTCAGACCCAAGCACAGGCAGACGCAGAAACTGAGGTCAAAGTGAGATTAAATCCTGATAAATCAAAACAATCGATCCAAAATCCGACTGATCACAGAGATTCCAAACAGCTGGAGCGAGCCAGAGACAGTAAATACAAATGGCAAAAGGAAGTAGATCCAAATACAAAGCATGAGTCTTTCAAAATAAAACAGGAAGCAACCAAACACAGAGATAATGTTTGAGCATATGAAAAGCTAAGAAAAATTCGGGACTGAACCAACGAAGACCCAACATACTCAAACAATCAAACGAAGAACTAACATTATATAAAATAATAAGACGGACGAATTCCACAAACGTCTGAACTGTCCAGAGCACGACTCACCTGAATGTCTTTGAATTTCAGGACTTTAGGAAGAAATGAGCAGTTTGAAAGAAATGATGAATTATTTAATTTGATTTTATGTATATAACACCAAATTACAGGAACAGTTCAAAGGTGCCACCTGCCACAACTGTTTGGGGGTTATTTATGAGCTCCACCAAAATAAAAGCATGTCAAACTGAAAACTGCGACTAATGACAGACATCTAATATTCAGGAACCACAAATGAAACTCGTCTCTAATCATTCATCAGGTCGCTGAGCCCTCCAAAGGTTAGGCCGTGGTTCTGTTTGAGCTGCACATCTCAGATTGTAATTTTTTAAATTGAGTGTCAGACATTAATTTTGTTTGCCTTTGAAAGGTGTTCCAACCAGGTAAAAAGGCCTGGATGTTACCTGAACACTCACGTAGGGGGCGCTGGTGAGACATGAGCTGTAAATGTCTGTCTGTCTGTCTGCAGTGCACAGGCTGGGTGAAGCTATTCCTGAACTCTTGAAGAGGCTGGGCGACCTGCAGAATTACTCTGTTCAGATGCCAAACATCTCCGAGAACATCAATCGCATCCGACAGCTCATAGAGCAGGCGCGCAATACTGCCAACAAGGTACACCCACAGACTGTATAAAAAGATGGACAGAGCCAAATATGTGGCCATATTTGGATGCTATTGCTAGCTAGCTTGGTTATCGCAGATACCTGCTCATAGTGCTGAGTTGGGCGCTGTGTTAGTGCAGTGACCTCACAGCAGCCGTGTTATTGGTCACATGATGTCATTAAACATGCTCCGAAAGACTCCAACAACACGGTCCAGAGGTCCAGTTTAGCCTAGCCGACAGCTAGCAGCTACAGCCACCTGTGTCAGCACCCACCTGTCTATAGAGGCCAAACAGTTTGTGTATGAGGCTGTAAACATGTTTATTTCGAATGTAAAATTTTGACATGGGAATGACTCACTGCTGCCTCTGCTGGACATCAGAGGAACTGCAGGTTTTCATTTGATTTTTTAGTCCTGGAGGTCAGTGCTAGGTGTTTCCATCAGAGGTCCTTATCACAATCAGATTACTTTATTAATCCCTAAGGAAATTACGTCATTCTAATAGTCTTTTATCGTCATTGTACATGTACAGCTAAATTGTGGGTCCTAATAAAATATAAATCATAGACAACAGAGAAATATACACAAAATCATACACAGACACATTGGAGAACAAAATACTGGCAAAGTGATCGGAGGCAGTGGAAAGGACCGAGTGTGAGTGGGCTGAGGGATAAGGGTTACTCAGACCATGGCTCAGATTGGTGAGGTCGGTGTGTAGGGGTGGGGTGTGGGGGCGGGGCCAGTGTTTGTTAACAGTCTGATTGGCTGTGGGGGAGGAAGCTGTTAGTGAGTCTGGAGGTGTGGGAGACTGAGGAGTGGGAGAAGGCCAGCAGCGGGACACGGAGGAAGTGCAGCCGCTGCTCGACCTTCGTTACCAGGGCGATGGCGTTGTGGGTCCAGGTGAGATCAGTGGAGATGTGGGTTCCCAGAAACCTGAAGGTGGAGACGGATTCCATTTATACTGAGAGGGGAGCGGACCTGTCCTGACGTCCATTACGAGTTCTTTTCCTCCTTCCCCATCCAGGTGAGCGTATCCATGAAGTTCAATGGGAGATCAGGCGTTCAGGTGCGTACGCCGCCTAACCTGGCTGACCTGGCTGCTTACACATCCATGAAGCTCCACATCAAGCTGCCGGACGCAGTGCGGACGCGGCGACAGGATCCTTCCAACAGTCAGTTTGTGTTTTACCTCGGCAACAAAAACGTAAGTGTGAGGACAGATTGGACTTCATGTCGCTCGTCAAGTCTGTCAGTCCTCGTCGGGGTGTGTCTTTATTAACTGGGATAAATTTAGGACTCGTGAACATCGGAGGTGTCGTGTATTTTAAATCTGTGTTTGGGGTTTGCAGCCGGGTCAGGAGTTCCTGGGCATGGCGTTGGTGGGGAAACGGCTGCACTGGTACTTTAACGTTGGAGGAGAAACTGCAGTTGTGAAGATGAAAAACGACATCCAGTCCAAAGGAAGATTCAGCACCGTCTCCCTGGAGAGGTGAAGCGCACGATGTAACACAACACGGTGTCATTCGATTAAACATGAATGTTTATGCTAGCTGTGTGCAGGAGTTGTAGCATTGATCTGCTCCGGTGTTGGTGCGCGTAGGATGCTGCAGCACGGTCTGATGTCCGTATCTGTGGACACCTCAACCAGCAAATACTCTGAGAAGGCTGAAGGAGATCAGGGGCTCCTCAAACTCTCGGCCAATGACACCGTCTTCTATGTGGGAGGATATCCGAATACTTTCACAGTACGTACTGGAAGAGCTGTAAACCCACCAGTTACAGAGCGTTTCCGCATGTTACGCTTATTTTAGTCAGTACAATAAAACTGAGCAGGTGGAGCCAGAGTGAGAATAACTGAGAACGCCTGTGTTGGTACGCAGGCTCGTTGATGTTTACACATTAGTGCCTCGACCACAGGAATAATGAAGAGTTTCCACTTTCTCTGGTGTTTTTGTCTTTAGCCACCTGAAGTGCTCGCCCTGCCCAACTTTAAGGGCTGCATTGAGCTGGACTATCTGAACGAGGAGGTGATCAGTCTCTACAGCTTTGTGGACGTCTTCAATCTCAACACCACGGTGGACATACCGTGTGCCAGGTCCGTCTGCTGTTCCTGCATCTCATTTCAGTATCATTGTGTAAATGCAAACGTTTGTGTTCTTTCTGTTGAATTTAAGCTTATAGCTGAACACTGACGCTCACAGCAAGGGCATGGATTTGGTTTTGGCGTTGGTGGGGACGGATGATTCAACCACCGAACCCTGCCCTGTTTCTTTGTTTTTCCTTTTTGTTTTTGCTTCTTAATAAAAAGAGGAGAAATATACTTGCCTACATGTGCTATTCTACGTGCTTTTAAACCGTTTAAAATCACAATTCATAGTTGAATTATTAAACAAATGACTAAGTATTTCAGGCTTTAGTTTACTTCAGCCATAATCCATATAAATCAGGTATCATACAAAAATAAAAATAGCTTCAAATAAAAGAACAATAAAAGAATATGACTTTAAGGACTTAACAGCATTACTTCAGTTACACCAACATCTCTGACACATCAGCACTAAGGGAACACTGAGTGACCTGCTGGGTTTTGTCCATAAAACTACTCGTCTAAGATGACCTCAGAGTCAAAGATCTCTCAGCAACATTATGCAACAGTTTAGGCTCTACTGCCCGATCAGATCAGTGAGCTGGGATTTTCTATTCTAAGCATGAGCTACTGTTACAGCAACTGACATTAATACTACTGGTGTCCCACACAACAACTCAACGTTCACTATGTGAAGCAGCCAAACACAGGCCTGCTCCTCTCGTTAATTGAGATAAACTGCTGGCATGTTGGTTTTACATCTATACTGTCCAGTCTGTCCTGGTGGACACACAGCAGCATTGTTTAATCCCATTTGAGTCATTGTTGACCTTAGCCCTGTTTTTAGTCTTCTGAGAGCACTGAAGCTTCTTTCAGCCTCAGTACCTGCGTTTTATCCTCAGATTAAAATTATTATTCTGTTCGTGATGGGCCTCACCTTTGGCCCTGGCTCCTCCCCTCTGACTGCACTAGGATATATTTCCACCTGATAAAATAACACATTGATTTGTGCCATATAAAAAGTGAGACGTGTCAATTCAGACTCTTTGTCAAATATACACTAATGAATCAATTTACATCAGCAGCCTAACAACTGTCATGATAATAAATACTAGTTAATCTGTAGCACCAACTCATCAGTCACCTGTGAGCTCGCCTCTTCACCTCTGAGCTACAACATGGCAGAGCTGCCTCTGTCACCTGATGAATAACAGTGAGACACTCCACATACATGCAGTCACACATGAGCTTCAAATACAGTCATGAACCAACAAGTCATCATTTCACCTGTGATCTTGTGTCACCATCACTCTCTGAGCTTTGTGTTGGTTCTTCACCTGACAAACAGGACATACACGACAATAAGAATAAAATGTGCAGCTGCTTCAGTGTTTCTGTCACTTTGTGCAGATCTTGACTCGTCAGTAATGTTTGTAGGCTGAGTGCATTTTAAAACTGTGCAAACTGCACTAAAAGGTGGAATATTTGCAAAATCATGACGACCTCATGACATTTTGTCTCAAACATTAACCCTATGAATACGTCAGTGCCATTAGGATGAAATTATTGTGTCACCAACATGTTAACGTTAGACATATAATTCTAACAGCCTCTGTAAACTAATATCCGGGCTGCTCGAGGCTGCCGTTTCCTCTGACAGTTTCAATCAAAATTAGAAACGCTGCTCTGAGACTGAGAGAACTAACAGTGCTGCCTATTGTGCAGGTAGTTTCCCAAACACGTTATTCATGGTTACGTACAGTTTCAGACTGATGTGGGCCAAAGCCTAGCATAGCCTGTGACGTTATTGTGACACATTTTATGAGTGAACTTGGCTTTAAGTGACTCACAGGTTTATATGAAAAACACTTTCTTACATCCAGCTTCTTCCTCTTTGCTGCCGTCCTCCTCCTCGCAGCGCAGGTTTACCGCTGCTGAAACTAAACAGAGCTCCCTGAAAGGCTCAGCCAATCACATTGGCCATAATTGTCACATGATGTAGGACTCCAGTAGAGAACGTAATTTAACTCTTTCTGCTCTGCTGGGTGAACGAGACGCTGACAGATCGTTTTTTTTCTTGTTTTTCTTTACTCGAAGAGATCAAATTATTGGTGGGGACAATTCTATAATCGCTGAATATTGGTGGGGACATGTCCCTTCCGTCCATGCCAAATCTACGCCCTTGGCTCACAGACGAGTGGATGAACGTTCATCACTTATTAAATGATGACTTTACAAAAAAAGAAAGTTTTCATCATTTTGTTATTTTCTGAGATACTCTGGTGTGTTTCAACTCCTAACTTTGTCTCTTAAATATGTGTGTGTGTTTAACAAACAGGACAAGAGCCACCTCTGAGCCCTATGTCAGTGATGGAGCGTACTTTGATGGGACCGGCTATGCAAAGTTTAATTTTTCTCAGTCAGGAAAAGGTTACTTCGTGCAACAGGAAATCAAACTGCAGTCGCAGAACGGGATCCTGCTGATGATGCAGAATGAGGTAACGCTGCTTATACGCTCACAGACCCTCAGAGGGCTGCTCACCTGTCCTTGTAAGCCCCGCCCCTATTATAATGAAAGAAGATGCTAGTTGCACTTCCTTATTCACAGCAGTGGGTGCTCTTTACACACAATCCCCTACAGTTCATAGCAAAAATGCTGAAGGCCGTAACACAGAATAGAATAGAATAGAATAGAATAGAATAGAATAGAATGGGTTTATCGTCATTGTACCTACAATGACATGACAGTGTTCCTCCTGTAAGAACTAAAGAGAACAGTACATATACATATTTACATACACCGAACAAACAGATCACATGCACAGCATAAAGAGAGTTCACAGAGTAATCAGGTGACCTTGCTACGCCCACATGACTTATTATCAGGCTTTATTGACCCTGGAGTCCAGTCGCTGCGTGCAGCACACAAAGCTGCCTCATTTCCACACTCGTGTTCTAGGTTTTCTTCTAATAACCTGACATATTGGATTCACATTTGCAGGTTTTTCACTTCTTCCCTGGTCATCATCACTTCTGTTATTCTCTGTTTGTTGTGGTGACACTCGTGCAAATACGGAGCCGTCAGAAGAAGCTTGAGTTACTTCTTATACAGGGTAACTGGAAGAATGAACTTTTCTACTCAAGCACTCAGAGCGCTTTATACAACAGGCCCGAGCTGCAAAAGTGCAGATGTCCTGTCCTTCTACTGAAGTACAGGTACTTGTGTATAAAAATACACTGATTCAACTTCTTTACTCAAATACAGTAAAGAAGTATTTGTACTTCATTAGCTCTGAACAAGCCTCATGCGCAGCAGCACTTTAACATTCAGGCTCTGATAGCTGCACCATAGCAGCCAACCTTCCCGTTAGTGGAAGGGTCGACCTCCTGGACCGGGGTCATGGCCATCAAATGTCCGGCTCTGGTTCCCACTGTACTTATTACACACATATCTGTATATTTTCCTCTGTAACTGGATTTCTTTTCTGTCTGCTGTGCAGCAAAATCAGTTTGTGTGTGTGGCGGTGCTTCGTGGCCAGGTCAAGCTCTTCTATAATATTAACGGTTCTCTGGTGGACGTCGAGCCCGTGGCTCCGCCTGAGCTCTTGCAGATGAGCAACGGCGAGCCCAACAGTGTGAGTCCCTCTGCGTGGTTTTTCATGTTCCTACTTTGAAAGCATGCCGATCACTCGGATTGCTCCTTTTAGTGGTCAGTATTGTGTACTTGTTTGTGACGTGCTGCATTTTTTCCCATATAGCTGTTTCTCATCATCTGGAATGAACTACTTATGGTGAAGAACAACCAAAACGATGCCATCAGGACTAACATAAAAGGCATCCCTCAATTTGACAACAGCTGTTACCTGGGTGGAGTGCCAGAGGACAAGATGCCGGAGATGTACGTGCACTAAGTTTCTTATTGCTCCATTTCTAAGCTAACGTTAGCGAGTCTGGAACTGCATGAGTGGAAAAGAGGCACAGGGGCAGGGCTAAAGGGGGCATCTGGGGTGGCACAGGCCCTACTGACATTTGTATGTTGCCCTCTAGAATTGTTGTCATGTCAATGATTAAAGATTGGAGCGGAGGATGGGCAAATCTAACTCCTGTTTTTTAACATTATAAATGAAATATACAATATGAAAAATGTAAAGGCTTTTGAATTAAAACAAATCGGCAGCACGGTGGCACGGTGGTTAGCACTGTTGCTGCACAGCAAGAAGGTCCTGAGTTCAATTCCAACATCAGGCCGGGGTCTTTCTGTGTGGAGTTTGCATGTTCTCCCTGTGTTCGCGTGGGTTCCTCCCACCGTCCAAAGACATGCAGCTTGTGGGGATAGGTTAATTGGATAATCCAAATTGCCACTAGGTGTGAATGGTTGTCTGTCTCTGTGTGTTGGCCCGGCGACAGACTAGCGACCTGTCCAGGGTGTACCCCGCCTCTCGCCCTATGACAGCTGGGATAGGCTCCAGCGCCCCCAGCGACCCTGAAAAGGATAAGCGAATGGATGGATGGATGGATGGAAAACAATAAATTATTAATTTTAATTAAACATGGAAAAGGATGTGTGAGACACTTACTTACTTATTCCACGTATTTACTATTTATTCTATTGAACATTTGCTGTCCCATTTGACAGTAAACCCGAGCCTTGTTCCAAGGAAGCCGCTGAGAGTAGCTCTAATAATTCATCTCGTTACCTCGCCACTAAGTCTTGTGCTTTGGGGCTGTCTCATATGTTTTAATGCATGTTTATGTCGACAGGAGGCCTGTGAACTTTCAAACTGTGCCTTTGTTTAGCTTATTTTCCAGATTTGCACGAGTCCTGTTATTACTGCCCTTCGTAATGTCTTGGGACTTTTCTTTTGATTTAATTTGAAGTCTTCTGGGTTTGCTGGTCTCACTGAGTACTGTCCAGGCAGCTACAGAGATTTTAAGCATAAAGATGCTGATAGTTACTTGGTCAGCATCAGACAGCAGATTTAGGTTAGCAGCTAGCTGGTAAAAGTAGTATTTTAAATAGTGGACACAAACCTGTAGGAAGTGTTTTCTAATGTGATTTAACATGTTGTGAACTTCTAGTTTCTAATTGGATAAGTTATTATCAGGGATCCGGTCTGGGTCACTAACACTGAGTTCATTGTGTTTGTCTCCCCTCAGGTTAAAGGACAAGTTTTCTAAGACGGGCTCTGTGAAGGCCTGTATCAGGAACGTGAAGGAAAAACAACAGTATATCAGCCTGAAGAATGTGGAGACCTATGGGGTCAGCTTTGGCTGCCATGACAAACTGCTGGTAGGAGGACACACTGAACCCATCAGCGTGTAACAAAAAGGAGTGGATGCAGGTTTTTCATGGTGTGTGTGTGTGTGTGTGTGTGTGTGCGCGCGCGCACGCGCATGTGCAGTTGGCTCGTGAGGGTTATTTCCCAGGTCAGAGCTACCTGAACTTTAATGTGATGGATGCTTCTAGTATCATGAACAACTTCTTTGCCGGCCTTGGCTTCAGAACTGAGACGACCGATGGACTCATGTTCTTCCACAAAAACCAGGTCAGAGGAAACCCTCAACCACTTCCTGTTGACCGTTGCCTCTCAGCTGTCTGTTTCCCGTATTCTTCTTCTGTCCTGATCTGTTGGATCTATGATGTGCTGACTTCTTCCTTGTTTCAAACTCTTGTGATTTTCTGTGGCCACAGGAGGACGTCTGTCAGGTGTTTTTGCAGAAAGGCCACATCGTGGTGCAAGCTGGCAACAAGGCGATTAAAACGCAGAAGACGTACAACGATGACATCAGTCATTATGTCACCATATACAACAATGTGACCGGGTAGGATGGCAGCGGTTACATTTTCCTCGCATCCACAGGAAGCAGCGTTCCGAGTGTCATTTGACATCTCTGCTCGTTTCTCAGGATACGTCTGTACGTGGATGACGTGCTGGAGACATCGACTCAGACCACAGTGAACCCAACAATGAAAACTGTCTTGTCCACAATGGGAAACACCTTCCTGGGAGGAATGCCCGAAGGCCCGAACAACCTGGTTGGATGCATTACTAATGTTTTCATCGAGAGGTTAGTTAAAAATGACTTTCATGAGCCGCCTTCATAGATTGACTCATCAGCCTGTGTGAAATGACTGAAACGATTAAAGCTGTTGTGTGAGTTCAGCTTGGATTGTAATGTGTTTGTTTGCCATCTGCAGGGAAACGCAGGAGGTTCTGGACCTGCTGAAAGCCACCAACAATGTAGATGTTTCTATGAAGTGTCCTGCTGCTAAACAGCCTCAGCAGATCATTGCTGCTCAACCAAAACAGAACAGCAAGCGCAAGGTACACACAGCAACAAGTGAAGGTACACACAGCAACAAGTGAAGGTACACACACAGGAACAAGTGAAGGTACACACAGCAACAAGTGAAGGTACACGCAACAGCAACAAGTGAAGGTACACACAGCAAGTGAAGGTACACACAACAGCAAGTGAAGGTACACACAGGAACAAGTGAAGGTACACACGACAGCAAGTGAAGGTACACACAGCAACAAGTGAAGGTACACACGACAGCAAGTGAAGGTACACACAGCAACAAGTGAAGGTACACACAACAGCAAGTGAAGGTACACACACAGCAAGTGAAGGTACACACAGGAACAAGTGAAGGTACACACAGGAACAAGTGAAGGTACACACACAGCAAGTGAAGGTACACACAGGAACAAGTGAAGGTACACACAGGAACAAGTGAAGGTACACACAACAGCAAGTGAAGGTACACACAACAGCAAGTGAAGGTACACACACAGCAAGTGAAGGTACACACAACAGCAAGTGAAGGTACACACAGGAACAAGTGAAGGTACACACACAGCAAGTGAAGGTACACACAGGAACAAGTGAAGGTACACACACAGCAAGTGAAGGTACACACAGGAACAAGTGAAGGTACACACAACAGCAAGTGAAGGTACACACAGCAACAAGTGAAGGTACACACACAGCAAGTGAAGGTACACACAGCAACAAGTGAAGGTACACACACAGCAAGTGAAGGTACACACAACAGCAACAAGTGAAGGTACACACACAGCAACAAGTGAAGGTACACACAACAGCAAGTGAAGGTACACACACAACAAGTGAAGGTACACACACAGCAACAAGTGAAGGTACACACAACAGCAAGTGAAGGTACACACAGGAACAAGTGAAGGTACACACACAGCAAGTGAAGGTACACACAACAGCAACAAGTGAAGGTACACACACAGCAACAAGTGAAGGTACACACAACAGCAAGTGAAGGTACACACACAACAAGTGAAGGTACACACAGGAACAAGTGAAGGTACACACAGGAACAAGTGAAGGTACACACACAGCAAGTGAAGGTACACACAACAGCAAGTGAAGGTACACACACAGCAAGTGAAGGTACACACAACAGCAAGTGAAGGTACACACAGGAACAAGTGAAGGTACACACAGGAACAAGTGAAGGTACACACACAGCAAGTGAAGGTACACACACAGCAAGTGAAGGTACACACAGGAACAAGTGAAGGTACACACACAGCAAGTGAAGGTACACACAACAGCAAGTGAAGGTACACACAGGAACAAGTGAAGGTACACACACAGCAAGTGAAGGTACACACAACAGCAAGTGAAGGTACACACACAGCAAGTGAAGGTACACACAGAACAAGTGAAGGTACACACACAGCAAGTGAAGGTACACACAACAGCAAGTGAAGGTACACACAGGAACAAGTGAAGGTACACACAGCAAGTGAAGGTACACACACAGGAACAAGTGAAGGTACACACACAGCAAGTGAAGGTACACACAGGAACAAGTGAAGGTACACACACAGCAAGTGAAGGTACACACACAGCAAGTGAAGGTACACACAGGAACAAGTGAAGGTACACACACAGCAAGTGAAGGTACACACAACAGCAAGTGAAGGTACACACAGGAACAAGTGAAGGTACACACACAGCAAGTGAAGGTACACACAGCAAGTGAAGTACACACAACAAGTGAAGGTACACACAACAACAAGTGAAGGTACACACACAGCAAGTGAAGGTACACACAGGAACAAGTGAAGGTACACACACAGCAAGTGAAGGTACACACACAGCAAGTGAAGGTACACACAACAGCAAGTGAAGGTACACACAGGAACAAGTGAAGGTACACACACAGCAAGTGAAGGTACACACACAGCAAGTGAAGGTACACACAGGAACAAGTGAAGGTACACACACAGCAAGTGAAGGTACACACAGCAACAAGTGAAGGTACACACACAGCAAGTGAAGGTACACACAGGAACAAGTGAAGGTACACACAACAGCAAGTGAAGGTACACACAACAGCAAGTGAAGGTACACACAGCAACAAGTGAAGGTACACACACAGCAAGTGAAGGTACACACAGCCACAACAAGTGAAGGTACACACAGCCACAACAAGTGAAGGTACACACAGCAACAAGTGAAGGTACACACAGCAACAAGTGAAGGTACACACAGCAGCAAGTGAAGGTACACACAGGAACAAGTGAAGGTACACACACAGCAAGTGAAGGTACACACAACAGCAAGTGAAGGTACACACAGGAACAAGTGAAGGTACACACAACAGCAAGTGAAGGTACACACACAGCAAGTGAAGGTACACACAGGAACAAGTGAAGGTACACACACAGCAAGTGAAGGTACACACAACAGCAAGTGAAGGTACACACACAGCAAGTGAAGGTACACACAACAGCAAGTGAAGGTACACACAACAGCAAGTGAAGGTACACACAGCAAGTGAAGGTACACACAGGAACAAGTGAAGGTACACACACAGCAAGTGAAGGTACACACAGCAAGTGAAGGTACACACAGGAACAAGTGAAGGTACACACAGCAGCAAGTGAAGGTACACACAACAGCAAGTGAAGGTACACACAGCAACAAGTGAAGGTACACACACAGCAAGTGAAGGTACACACAGCCACAACAAGTGAAGGTACACACAGCAACAAGTGAAGGTACACACAACAGCAAGTGAAGGTACACACACAGCAACAAGTGAAGGTACACACAGCAACAAGTGAAGGTACACACAGCAACAAGTGAAGGTACACACACAGCAACAAGTGAAGGTACACACACAGCAACAAGTGAAGGTACACACAGCAACAAGTGAAGGTACACACAAAGCAACAAGTGAAGGTACACACACACAGCAACAAGTGAAGGTACACACAGCAACAAGTGAAGGTACACACACAGCAACAAGTGAAGGTACACACACAGCAACAAGTGAAGGTACACACACAACAAGTGAAGGTACACACAGCAACAAGTGAAGGTACACACAACAGCAACAAGTGAAGGTACACACAACAGCAACAAGTGAAGGTACACACACAGCAACAAGTGAAGGTACACACAGCAACAAGTGAAGGTACACACAGCAACAACAATAAGACGTGACTGTGATAAATTCAAGGTTTTCTCTCTTAGGGGAAGCTGAAGAAGCCGTCAGGATCTCGCAGTCGTAACACTAGGGACTCGTGTCAGGGTGAGGTGTCACACCACGAGAGGGGAGCGACGCACTTCAGTGGCTCCACCCACAGCTTCCAGAGATACGACATCCTGCCCAGTTCGTTCGGCTCCACGTGAGTGTGAAAGAAACTTTAAGAGATCCAGTCCCTTTCTTTCTAAGCTCCTTGCATGCCATCATCTGGATGACTGAGAACCTACACAGACACAAGCTGCTAAACAGACTCCGCCCCCTCGTATTCAAGGACCAAACTACAGCTCAGATACTCGTGTTTCTCTGTCTGCAGGCCTCACATCTCCATGCTGTTGAGGATCAACTCATCTGACGGGCTGGTGCTGAGCGCCACCAGCAGGCAGCGAGGAGGAGGCGTGATGACGCTCACAGTCTCAAACGGCCACCTGCTGCTTCAGTTTGGGAAGAAGTTTAACCTACGCAGCTACAGGAAGTACAACGACGACCAGTGGCACACGGTGAGCAAGCACAAAAACACAAACACATGCACACGAACGCACATACTTGTTTTCATAACTTAGTGAGGACATCTCATTGACATAATGCTTTCCCTAGCTGCTTACCCATCAAAAATGGATGCCTAACCCTCAGCCCAATCCTAACCATAACCTAACTGTAACCCTGACACTAAAACCACGTTTTGGTTAGCGTGTTAGCGTTGAGCTAACGTTTTTTGCTACCAGCTGTGTTTGTGTCTCAGACCCACCTGAGTTTACCTGAATGATGTAACCTGATTGCTCCGTGTCCCTGCAGGTGTTCATAAAGCTTGAAGGGCAGAAGATGAGTCTGATTGTGGACGGTATCAGTGTTCAGTCCAACAGGATATCTGGACGAGACCGGACTCGTCTCACCGCACCGTTATACGCAGGAGGAGTCCCTGCCTCTGTGGCGGTAAGCGTTTCTCCTGCTGGTTCCACGCTCAGGCTGACACCTCTGTGCAGTGAAGGTCGCGCCTTTCTGCTCTTCTTCACGCTGGGTACTGAAGCTCTGCTCTTTCTTAACCTCAGGGTCAGGGTTCTTCCGGGTTTGTGGGGTGCATCCGGGATCTGATGCTGAACGGAGCCCCTGCAGGAGACCCCGCTCACAGCCAGGGGACAGTGCCCTGCTTCGCGACCCCTCTGCAGCCCGGAGCCTACTTTTCTGGATGGGGAGGACACATCATGATCGGTACGTACCATTCGTTTCTGTGCACGTGTTGGCCACATTGGGTCGTCATGTCTGAGCGGCGCCTCTGTCCCTCCCTGCAGATGAGTCCTTGGCTCTGAGTCGGGATCTGGAGATCCAGCTCGAAGTTCGACCCATCGTGGACTCTGGGCTGCTGTTGCATGCTGGGACATCGTCTGACCACCACCTGAGCTTATTTCTCATCCAAGGAAAGGTGAGACTCGGGCAGCGTTTCTCCTGAACGTGGTCTACTTGCTGTTTTTCAGGTTTTAAATTTGTGATGTCAAATATTTTTATTTCTGAATGTTTTTATATCATAACTTAAATAAATGACTCAGTTTCCTCTGAAAAGACGACATAAAGGAGTCAGCGTGTAACAGCCAGACCTCTAAATAAGACCTGAACATCAGCTTAGAGCTGCAGGTATCCTCAGTTTGCAGTGCCCCACTGTTCCCCACTCCCACTCAAATCAGTTCAGTTTTATTTACACAGCGCCAAATCACAACAACAGTCGCCTCAGGGCTCTTTATATTGTAAGGTAGACCCTACAATAATACATACAGAGAAAACCCCAACAATCATATGACCCCCTATGAGCAAGCACTTTGGCGACAGTGGGAAGGAAAAACTCCCTTTTAACAGGAAGAAACCTCCGGTTCAGGGAGGGGCGGGGCCATCTGCTGTGATTGGTTGGGGTGAGAGAAGGAAGACAGGATAAAGACATGCTGTGGAAGAGAGACAGAGGTTAATAACATATGATTCAATGCAGAGAGGTCTGTTAACACATAGTGAGTGAGAAAGGTGACTGGAAAGGAAAAACTCAGTGCATCATGGGAATTCCCGGCAGCCTACGTCTATTGCAGCATAACTAAGGGAGGATTCAGGGTCACCTGGTCCAGCCCTAACTATATGCTTTAGCAAAAAGGAAAGTTTGAAGCCTAATCTTGAAAGTAGAGATAGTGTCTGTCTCCTGAATCCAAACTGGAAGCTGGTTCCACAGAAGAGGGGCCTGAAAACTGAAGGCTCTGCCTCCCATTCTACTTTTAAATACTCTAGGAACAACAAGTAGGCCTGCAGAGCGAGAGCTCTAATAGGGTAATATGGTACTACAAGGTCATTAAGATAAGATGGGGCCTGATTATTTAAGACCTTGCAGGGCTCTAGAGTGCGAAAAATTTGTCTTTCAGCCCCGACGGCCCGTAGACGGACACGCTGTCGGAGCTCAGCGATTCTGATGCGTCCGGTCCGCTCTGTTTACGTCACTGATTCTGAGCTGCAGGTTTTGTCTCTCCAACCAAAATTCACCGAGCCAGCAGCAAAAGAAGCAGCAGACTACGCTTCACATTTGATCAATGCGTCATGAATTCCCTCTGACTTTTGCTGTTTTGCTTCCATCCATCCATCCATCTTCTTCTGCTTTATCCGGGGCCGGGTCGTGGGGGCAGCAGCCTAAGCAGAGAAGCCCAGACCTCCCTCTCCCCAGCCACCTCCTCCAGCTTATCCGGGGGAATACCAAGGCGTTCCCAGGCCAGCCGAGAGATATAATCTCTCCAGCGTGTCCTGGGTCTGCCCCGGGGCCTCCTCCCGGTGGGACATGCCCGGAACACCTCACCCAGGAGGCGCCCAGGAGGCGCCCAGGGGGCATCCTTGTCAGATGCCCGAACCACCTCAGCTGGCTCCTTTCGATGTGGAGCAGCAGCGGCTCTACTCTGAGCCCCTCCCGGATGGCCGAACTTCTCACCCTGTCTCTAAGGGAGAGGCCAGCCACCCTTCGGAGGAAGCTCATTTCTGCCGCTTGTATCCGCGATCTCGTTCTTTCGGTCACTACCCACAGCTCGTGGCCATAGGTGAGGGTAGGGACGTAGATCGACCGGTAAATTGAGAGCTTCGCTTTTACACTCAGCTCCCTCTTCACCACGACGGACCGGTGCAGCGTCCGCATTACTGCAGCTGCAGCCCCAATCTGTCTGTCGATCTCCGGCTCCCTTCTCCCATCACTCGCGAACAAGACCCCGAGATACTTGAACTCCTCCACTTGGGACAGGAACTCATCCCAGAACTCATCTCAGATTTGGAGGTGCTGATCCTCATTCCTGCTGCTTCACACTCGGCTGCGAATCGAATCAGGACTTTGAGAGCTGGAATCAAATGATTATAGAAATCAGTGATGATGCCCAGCCCTGGTGAGCAGCCTAGGCCCCACAGAGTGGATGTAGCTGTGGGTAATGAGAAAAGATGAAAAGAACGATTGATGACTTTTTTGTTAAGTTAAGGCCTGATCTGTCTGAAGTTCATAGCCAGCTCTGACACGGAGCCATCAATCTTTGAATGCTGAAAAAGCAGCAGTGTATCCAGAAAACACATTATATGCTGCAACAAATGCACTGCCCAAGTGTCCCCTCTGCCCAAGTGTCCCCTCTGCCCAAGTGTCCCCTCTGCCCGCTGCCTTTCAGCAGCAGGCAACAGCAAACAGGTCGTCAGAGGAGGCCGAGGTCATGATTAATTTTAACATCTACAATCTACAATATTGAGAAAGCGCTTTAAGCACAAGATTGTTAGTTAATAATTTAGAAATGAATATTGTCTGTATGGACTGCAACTTCCCCCCCAAAAAATGTAAAACTGCAGTGTTAATCGATGCGGTACAGCCCTGCCTTGTATGTGAGGAGCAGGATTTTGAATTCTGGATTTAACAGGAAGCCAAAACAGGAGAAATCTGCTCTCTCTTTCTAGTCCCTGTCAGGACTCTTGCTGCAGCATTTTGGATTAGCTGAAGGCTTTTCAGGGAGTTTTTAGGACATCCTGATAATAATGAATTACTCGGTCATATCTTCATCGGAAAATAGTCACCAATAACTCACCAATAATCATTTCAGAGGACGATATTATCACAATACTTTGCTCACGATATGGCATTACTGCGATTTACTGCCTTTCTTCAACTTTTACAATTAAAAACAAATTAAAGCAAAAATAAATAATCATTAGGACATAAATGTTTAATGTGTGTCATATTTGCTACATGCTGCATTTTTAGCGATTTTTATATGTTAAACATCTATTGTGGAATTTGTGTAGGCTTTCTGTGTGTGTGTGGGGGGGGTCATGCATCAGAAATGACACACGTGACTTTACTGGGTTAGAAATGGGGCTGGTGGTTGTGGCGTGCGGTCCTTCCTCTGATGTGACTCAGAGGCGTCACCTCCTGCTTGGACCGCTGAAGCCTCCTCTGAGCGAATCTCTAAACTTGAGTTCATCAGCACTGCGTGTGTGTGTCAGGTGACCGTTTCGGTGAACGGCGGGAAAGGTGAGACCTCTGCATCGTTCATTCCCGAAGAGCCGCTGTGCGACGGCCGCTGGCACTCCATCTCAGGTGAGTTTCGTCCTCAGACGCGTGCTCCGTGCACTCCCCTGTCGCTGTACCGCTCTAATGCTGAAATGTCTCTGCAGTGGTGAAGAAAAACAACGTCCTGCAGCTGCACGTGGACGGAGCCAGCGAGCGCGCTGTCGGCCCCAAAAAGGGCCGCTCCACGGGGCCCAAGGAGGCGGTCTACCTCGGAGGCGTGCCAGGTGAGTGCACGGCGTTCACAGACCACCTCAGTGATGCAGACTGGCCTCTGTGAGGATCACGAAGATCTCCACCACCTAAATGCAGCCGTTTCCTGTTCCCACATTCCTGACATCCTCGCCACTTTGTCCGTGTGACCAGTTTCTTTGATCACTTATCAGATTTTAATCAAATCTGTCGCCTCCCGTCTGCGTTTAACGTCTTTACTCAAACATGCTTGATTAGTCACACTACTCATTACTGCATAACAGGGATACAGTCGCACACGTTGTCAGTGCAGCGCCTCATTAACGCGTCACTCCTCTCTCTGTCCACTAGGTGGCATCACTGTACCCGGTCTACCCCCTGGGCTGGCGTCCTTCCACGGCTGCGTCCGCCGGGCGAGCATCAACAACAGAGCGGCGCCGCTGTCAAAGCCGCTCGCTGTGCACGGCGCCGTGGGAACGCGCGGCTGCCCACATGTTTAACCCCACCCCCTCATATCTTACCTTCACACTCCCTGAGTACACATCAGCACCGGTGGTGGGCGTCACATTACTGTAGCTAAGTTAAGACATCTATACGAGTATTTATTTTTTAAGAAATGTGTATTTTATATTTTCCCCCGTTTGTTTGGTGCTGCAGAGACGGAACGACGATGTCATCGAGCGGCACGGTAAAGCCAAGTTCGACCATCTTTGCATGTTTCTTCTAAATCATCCAGCAAACCGTCGCGTAATCGTGCGTCTGCTGCAGACACCGACTCTAAACGCTGATCAGTGAGCACAGACTGTACGTGGAAGATGGACGCAGCCGCTTCCTCTGCGACTCGGAGGCGTCGGTAATCTCAACGGTGATCCTTTGATTCAGTCGGACCTGAGACCAAACACCAATCGCTGCACTCAGATCAGCTCGGCAGAGGCTCGTAGACTTCTGTCCAATCAGAGTCCCCGCCCGCTCAGTCCATCTTTGATATACAGTCTGAACACGAGCAACATCCTCAGGTAGAGCAGACAAAAAACAAAGCCTGCAAATCTGGGGAATGTCTGATTTCGTGACCTTTGACCTCACATAGTAAAACTTTTGTTTGACATGTGAACGTTACGTCCTCGCCGGTCTGCAGGCGCCGTTTCCATCTGAAACACGAAGCCTTCTAGCTTCTCTGATCCCCCGTCCCTGTCTGTCACATGTTTAAATAAAGTTTTTCCGTACCAACAGTCTTTGTGTTTTACATTCATAAAAAGAAGCTCATGTTTCAGTCATTACGTTTTTATTAGAAAGAGCTGAATACACCTGAAGCCCCGCCCTCTTCAGAGGAAAAAAAAGGTCATGGAAGGGTCAAACCTTTGATAGAAGAAAAAGTGAAAAAGAATGAAACAGATGATGTCACAGAGACTAATCCAGACTCATGTCCTCCTCGTCCTTCTTCTCCTTCGACTCTTCTCTGCTGCCCTGCATGGCTCGAGCGAACGCCTCCACATCTGCTGACACACACAGATCAATAACCAAGAATCCAAGACCTGTCAGCCGTGCGCGATTGCTCACGCGCTCAGCTTGGAGGGAACATTGGTAGGGATTCATTTTTGATGCTTAGGGTAAGCAGCTGAGGAAAGCAATATACCAATGAGATGTGCTCACTAAGATAGCAAAACGAGAATGTGTGTGTGAGGTAAAAGGGTGGACTTGATGTCCTCTAGAGAGCAACTGGTTAATGCTAACTGACCTGCAGGGGGCGCTCATGTCAGGACACTGTCACAGCGCCACATGCCGACGCTCGTTGTGTGTGTGAGGATGAACGCAGCACAAACAGGAAGTTCAGCGTGCGTTTGGTTCACTCACCTCCACGGTTGGCTGCGTCCACGGCATCGGGTGGCAGTCCAAACTGACTCATGAGGGGGCCGAGCTGCCCGGAGGCCAATGCACTGCTGAACATGCTCATGGACTGGAGGGGAGGAGAGAAGAAAAGCGAACGATGAGCGCGGCGCTCAACGTGTTTACATCATCACCGAGCGTCGCCAACGTTACGTTGTACCTGCTGGAACTGAGGAGAGTTCAGGGTGTTCTGGATCTCCTCGGCGCTCTGCGGCAGACTCTCCCCACTGGGGAGAAAGGGGAGGAGCCTCTGCTGGACCTCGGCGTTGCTCAGAATGGGAGCCATCATCTCTGGGGTGCACACGCTCGCCAGGTCCACTGCAGAAGGAGATCAGAGCTGTGAGTGTCTGCGCTCCCTTTCAGAGGCACACGTGACCTCACTCATGTGACTCACCTGCTGAGCCCTGAGCCCCTGCTGCCGGCACATTCATGGTGGCCAGGATGCTCTGAAGATCGCTGAGCTGGATGGGCTGGTGAGGGGCGGGGCTTCCAGTGGAGGCCGGGGCCACGGGAGTCTGAGCCGGGGCTGTAGATGATAGAAGGTGGGAGGAGTCAGGGGGTTTCCAGGTAACAATAACATGCAGGTGACATCAGAAAAAAATGAATTGAGTTGCTGTGATTTACTGTAAACAAAGACGAGAACATTTAGGACCAATCAGGTTCCTCCCTGACGATGACATCAGGGAGGAACCTGATTGGTCCTAAATGTTCTCGCAGAAAACTACAATCAAGCCCATAATTATTCATACCGGTGGCAAATTTTGAGTTACTTTGATTCAACCAGCAAGAATTTTTTGACTGAAAACAACACAAGTGTCTCCCAAAAAATCATTGTGGAAAACAACATTTCTCAGCTTTTATTTACATTTGAAGAAAAAGTGTCACGTCCAGAATTATTCATACCCGTCACAATCTGTCGCAGCCTCTGGGAAAATCCAAAGTTGGACACCAGCAGACTTTTCAGCACAACAATGACCCAAAACACGCAGCAAACGTGCTGAATAAACGGTTAGCAGACAACACTAACATTTTGCAGAGTCCTGACTTGAATCCAACTGAGAATCTGTGGAGGGAGCTAAAGATCAGAGTGATGGCAAGAGGACCCTCCAAACTGCAGGATTTGGTGCTCATTGCAAAAGATGAGTGGGCAAAAATACCTGTGGAGACGTGCACAAAGCTGCTCTGCAATTAAAGCGTTTGATTGCTGTAATAGCCAAATAAGACTTTTCTATTGATAATTGAGAAGAGTATAAATAATTCTGGACATGACACCTTTTGTTCAAATGTAAATAAAAGCTGAGGATTTTTCCCCACAGTGATGCCTCTTGTACATCTTATCTTTTGGGGAAACACCCACCTGTGTTTAAAAAACAAAACAAAACAAACTTGGTTGAATAAAAGTAACTAAGTCAAAATTTGCCACCGGCAGGAATAATTATGGGCTTCACTGTATATTTGAAATCTTCCACTTGCAACACCACCTGCCTTTTATTTTGAAAGTCATCCCACTGCTAACAAGGAACTTGGGCACTTCCTGTTGTGCCTTTTTCTACTGTCTGACCATCTTCCTGTTCTTGTCATTAAGCCCCCCCCCCTCCTCAGTGCTGCCGGTCTCAGTTCAGTTATAGAGGGTCGCTCCAATCAGAAGCTACAGGAGGAGGAGGGTGGAGGTCTGATCTACAGGTGATCAGCCTCTATCCCGTTTTGTTTTGCTCCGCCTCAAGCCCCGCCATCATCCCATAACCCTCTGTGACGAACTGCTTCCCGTTTCCTTTGAAACTCGGCATGTAGCCTTCATTTCTTTCTGTACCTGGTGTGGAGGGCGTGGCAGCGGTGGAGGAGGGAGCCGAGGTGACGGGAACAGCGGCAGGGGCAGCGGGCGCCTGGGAGGAGCTCATTCTGGGACCTCCGCCTGGTGAAGGAGTCACTGCAGCTGATTGGCTTCGAGAACTGAGGAAGAGCAGCACAGGTGAACAAAGAGGAAGACTGCAGGTGTGTGTGCGTGTGTGTCTGTCTCACCTGGATGAGGAGCTGCTGGTCACAGGTCCTCCGCCCCCCAGCAGGTTGGCGAGTCCCGGTCCAGCTAGAGCTCCCAGGCCTCCTTAGACAAAGACATCAGATCAAAAACCTGGAATAGCCCCGCCCCCAGCTACACGTCACACCTGAGACTGCTTCACCAGCATGCTTCTGAGAGGGAGTACACCTACGTCATAACTGGAAACTCTTTTTCATACAGCGCAACCTTCCACAGACGTGCAGCCCCTGACAAACCTAACTACATATTGAGGCGTCGCGTGTGGAAGGCTGCGGCGGAGGGTTGAGTGGGATTTCCTGTTATGGCCGAAATTAGGACGAAACCAAGCTTGACCTTTAGAGGCAGAGAATAACTTCCAGGAACTGGGGCAGGTGTTCATGAACTACGTGCAGGTGTGTGTAGGTCAGAGCGCTCACCGAGACCTCCGAGCCCCGTGGGTCCCATCAGCTGCATCAGCTGGTTGTGGCTCATGTTTCCCAGCAGGTTCTGCAGGCCGCCCTCTCCTCCCAGCGCTGACAACTCGTGGCCACCGCCGCCGCTGCCGGATGCTCCGGGGATGGGAGGGTTGTTCAGGTACTCGTTGACCTTCCGGCAGTACTCGTCATCTTTGTCAGTCTTTGGCTCCTGATGGCATCAGAGCAGAGTTATTGCTACTTACAGGTTCTCGTGGCTCGCTGTAATCATGCAAGTGTGTGTGTTTTTTAATGGTGCAATGCTGTGAGGTGTTCATGTATATGTGAGTGTGTCAGCCTTTAGTAAGCACGCTCTTTTAATATCAGATGCAGCCTGATGAAGGCGCTCTAATGCTGACATCTGCCATCACATGAACTAAGACGTTCCCCTCTAGGATGAAGACGAGCTCACCTGCATCCAGAAGAAGAGCCGCTTGGACCCGGCCTTGAATTTCAGGACGTAGACACGTCCGGTGGTGCACTGTGTCACCCTTTTAAACTCACAGTCGTCAGGGAAGATGATCAGGTCCTGTAAGAGGAAACAAACAGGAGGAGACATTTAAAGAAGAGACATGGGGCTGCTCTCACACATCATCAAATACCAACCAATCAGAGAGAGGGAGCCAGAGGCAGCAGCTCTGAGTGAAAGCGCTGAAATAAGGAGAATCATGTGAATGATCGGATTTGAAATCATTTCTTTCAGGACTTTGAGCTCTGTTCAGTGAGATCAATCTGTGGGTGTGGAAGGATGAGTATGTTCCACTCAAGAACATCTCAGTGCTTTAACCTCCTAGGACCTGCGTCCACATATGTGGACATCACATTTTGGGTTATTTAGACCAAAATACTCAATTTTGCTCTACATGGGCCTGATATCCACTTACGAGGACATTATCCTGCTACTGTTCTATCGAAATTTTAAATGAATATCCTCATTTGTGGCTCTCATTTTTCTTAGAAACAAAAATTAGGTTAAAAAAAATCTGGTAATTCTTTGTTTTTACATTCATCAGGTCCCAATCAGCCCAAATATCAAAGAGAAATTAAAAATGCTGCCGTGGAAAAGTTCGAGTCTTAGGAGGTTAAACCAGCTCTACATGTGGGTAGAGGCCAGGAAGTGGTTAAGTTTCAGTGCTGACTCCGTCAGCTTTACCTGACCTCACGGAGGAATTTCTGCTTTATGGAAGCGGTGCGCAGAGAAATGAGGAAATGAAGCGCCGATGTGCGCTGGCCTCTCTCAGCTCCACCCTGTAAACATCAGGAACCACAAACACTCGACTGGTTCAGGGTGACTCACATCATCTACGTTCCCCGCGGTCCGGTCCTTCCAGCAGAAGTGGATCAGAGAGTCATCGGACTGCTGGATGTAGACCAGCCCTTTCCGTTTGTCCGGGGTCACCGTGTTGCCCTTCAGGTTCATTTTACCTGCTCGAAACTCCACCAGGTACTTGCTGGAGCTTGCTCTGGAGCCGCTGACCATGCTGGGGAAGAGAGCGCCCGAAGACATCTTTGAAAGTTTTTGTTCACAAAGCCTGATGGGAAAGAAAGGAAGGAGCAGAGGGTCAAAGAACAGGATGCAGTGAGATCACTCAGAGATCTTACGTCAGCACGTTAAAGCGTTTGACGTTTATGTGTCACTAAATAAAGTCTCCGATGTCTTTAAACATGATAATAACCAACAAACTCAATAAAACTCAAGTTTAACTTGAACTGTTATCTCTGATTATTACCCTTCACTCTTACATTTCCACATTAGTTCTCATCACGTATCGATACCTTTGATTAAACAAATCAAAAGTATCCGTTCACGTCTTAAACGTAGACTAGAGTCGCTCTGCTTTGTCCTGTGTTACTGTTTTTATGATCATATATTGTTGGTAAATCATCGTGTCTGCGCGTATAGCGGCTGAGGAGCACTGTGCTGATGTTTAATGAGGACTGTAATTATTTTTTGTTATATTTGTGTCTTAAAATCACTTTTCAGAAAAGCTAAAAGTTAGCCTGCTAGCTGCCGTTAGCTGTGGCGTGCTAACGTTAGCACATGACGAGGCTAAACAGAACACCACAGTAATATTCACTGCCGTCGCTTAACTACGGTCAGTCAGACATTAGAAACAAGAGCCAGCTGTGCATCTGATGGCTTTCCTGCAACTTTTCTGTGAAATGTGAATTTTGTTGAGCTCTCCAGCACAAATACCTGAAGTTGTGCCCGCAGAATAAGTTTTTCTGCTTCTTCGCGTCGCTCAACGTCAAAGATGATCTGCGGAGGGACTAGACTTCCGGTTAAACCCACTGTACAGAAACAGAATGCAGACCAGCCGGCGGACAGTGGAGGGCGCTCCCATAGTGACAGTATAGGAATAATGCCATTTGCTGCCAAACAAAAAATGTTATTTTAGTTTTCATAAATCCAGCACATCATCTGAAACACGACTCCAAATTGGTTTGATCACATTTACGCTGATTTTGACCATAAACACAGACATCCTGTTCTGATTGGTTAGTTAAGTCAAGTCAAGTCAAGTCAAGTTTATTTATAAAGCACATTTTTAAAAACAACCGAGGCTGACCAAAGTGCTGTACAATAAAATACAAATATAAAATACAATAAAACACAAGTACATAAAACACCTCACTGATAAAACAATAAATTAAAACAATAAGTTAAACCTTGCTAAAAGCCAATGAGAAGAGGTGAGTTTTAAGAGCAGTTTTAAAAGTTCCAAGGCTTGTGGAGAATCTGATGAGAGGAGGTAAACTGTTCCACAGTCTGGGTGCAGCCACAGCAAAAGCCCTCTCTCCCCTAGTCTTTAGTCTGTACCTGGGAACATCTAAAAGCATCAGGTCTGCTGACCTCAAAGATCTCCTGGGGCGGTAAATGCTAAGAAGCTCTGCCAGGTAAGGAGGTGCAGTACCGTTAAGAACCTTAAAAACCAGCAGTAAAATTTTAAAATCAATCCTAAAAGCAACTGGGAGCCAGTGGAGAGAGCAGAGGACCGGAGTGATGTGGTCTCTCTTTTTGGAACCGGTCAGCATGCGAGCAGCAGCGTTCTGCACCAGTTGAAGGCGATGCAGGCAGGAACGATCTAAACCAGCATAAAGGGAGTTACAGTAGTCCAGCCGTGAAGTAATAAAAGCATGGACCACCCTTTCTAGATCGTTCCTGGACAGGTAGGACTTGACTTTAGCTAAAATCCGTAGATGATAAAAAGCTCCCTTGACTACGGAGCTGATTTGTTTATCAAATTTAAAAGCACTGTCAAAAGTAACACCGAGGCTCTTAATGGAGGAAGTACATTCGGAAGTTAGGGGTCCCATAAAATCAAAGGAAAGGTCGGGGTCTTTAGGAAGCCCAAACACAATGACTTCAGTTTTACTTTCATTTAGATGTTAAGTTAGTTAAGGTTTTGTAGCAGGAGGTCCTCCAATCGATGGGTCCTGTTTTCAAACGGTAACTCCAGCAGACCACCATATTTCTGTCATTTTCTTAAGGATGTGGAATTGTACATAAAATCAATATCAGGAGGCAGCACGGCGGTTAGCACTGTTGCCGCAGAGCAAGAAGGCCCTGAGTTCAATTCCACCGGGGTCTTTCTGTGTGGAGTTTGTATGTTCTATCCCTGTCTTTGCGTGGGTACTCCGGCTTCCTCCCACCGTCCAAAGACTTGCAGTTTGTGGGGATAGGTTAATTGGATAATCCAAATTTCCCATAGGTGTGAATGTGAGAGTGTCTCTGTTATCCCTGCTACAGACAGGCGACCTGTCCAGGGTGTAGCCCGCCTCTCGCCCTGTGGCAGCTGGCTCCCGCGACCCTGAAAAGGATCATCGGAAGCGAATGGATGCGTGGATCAATATCAGCCTCCACCAACAAAAATGCTCTCAAAACAGTATATAAAATTGAATTTTTGCGTGTATTTATATAATTTTTTTTACCCCTGGTTTTGTGTGTTCATGTTCTGTTCTCTTGTATTCTTGATCTGTTTATATGTTGTATACTCATTGTTTGTTCAATAAAGTTCCTAAAAAACCTCCAGCAGACGTTAGGAGCGTAATTAAAGTGAGCAAGAAGCAGCTGGTTGTGATGTTAAAGGTGAAGCTATCAGGCGGCTGCTGCTGGCGGCTTACGGTGCTGTGAGGGCCGTAATGCTCGCATAAGGGTTTTACCACAAAAGAAATATGTAAAACATCTAAACACACGACGGAATCTACCGCCTCGACGCTTCCATCACAAACAGGGTTAACGTAAAACGTTTATCCCGGCTCCACGGAGTGCCACGAGCTCGACAGCGCCTCCTGTGGAGCAAGAAGCTCAGACAGCGGGCCGCTCCTCGTGACTTCCTGAGCGCTTGTGAGCGCGCCTGCTGTCAGCGGGAACGAGCAGGGCAGAAAGTGGGAGGGTTTGCGCGCGGCCGTTGTGTTCGGATTGACTGCGCGCCCCCTCCCGGTGTAGCCGTTAGCTCGGTGTCCGGTCGATGTTTTAGCGGCGGAGCGTGGACTGGAAGTGGGATGATAGTGTTGTAAACGTCGAGTCAGGCTTCAGCGACCGAGAGAGGACCAGCAGCCGCTCCGCCCCCGGGACAGAACAGGTAAGAAGCCCGGGCTAGCCGCTGACGTTAGCCGCGCCGCCGTCCTTGGATTAGACTCGGGCTAACAACATGGATGCTGCTGCTCTCACGCCTGCAGATTATCCGCTTTAACCTCGAGCTGAGCCCCCGGCCGTGACCGGCCAGCTCCGGTTTAGGTGCCCGGTGTAAGGGGCTCGGGCGGACTCCCGGTCCTCGTTAGTGTTTGTTCAGATGTGACAGATCTAATCGAGGGGAGACGAACGGGATAAGTCCGGCTTTAGGGACGGGGGAGGGGTGTGGGTCCGTCGGTTCTGATCAGAGGTCGCCGCCGTGTGGAGCAGGTGGGGTTACAGGTCGTGGGGTGCAGGTGGGTACTGGCCAACACCGTGAGCTGCACCTGTCCCCTCAGCAGGGGCGTAACCACGGTTTTTAAAAGGGGGCATGCGGGATGATGTTCCTGATCCTCTCAGGGATATAACCGAGGATGTTTTTTGGCTCCCCCTGGTTACCATCAAGGTCAAATTAATTTTAACACCAGAGCTGTGTGCCCACTGGTGTTCTCCCCCTAAAGTTCCCTAAACTCACTCGTTTAGTTCAGGCTGATCCCAGAGGCTCAGTTAATAACAGGAAGTAAAACTGCTAGCAGGATGTGTTTTAGTTTTGGTTTATCAAGAAGATGAGACATCTCCAGGGTGATGTCACCACCAGCAGTGGTTGGTGATCAGTTATGAGCATATTATCACCTTATCCATCCTGGTGTTGTGGGTAGGGGGACGTGTCTGGCCTTAATGAGCTTTGAAATATAAATAATGGTGAAGCCTTACCTGTGCATGCTGTCAGACACCTGCGAGTATGAGCACACAGCTGAACAAACAGCAGGACATCCAAAACCTAACAGGAAGATTCATGCCTGACCGTGTTTCCTTCACTCCTGAATCCCAGGACCTTTTACTGCTTCTTGGACTGTTACTGGGATCTTTGGGCCCTTGGTGAAGTTCACACCATTACCTTTAGGCAACAAGCAGAGCTGAAGATGCTCAGGTGTTCACTGGGAGTGAGTACGATGAGTCCATCAAAGGGACAGCTCAGAGTCTGAGAGGTGATGCTTAGATGGTGCAGAGGAGGGAAGGTGGATATATTGGACAAAGGATGATGAAGATGGAGCTGCCAGGCAGGAGGAGAAAAGGCAGGAGGTTCATGGATGTAGTGAAGGGTATGCGACAGAGGAGGATGCTGGGATCCGCTGTGAAACGAGGAGGAGTCGTGTCTATTACTGTGTTTCATCAGCAGGGACACAGATGGACTCTAATTGCTGCCTGGTCTCTGAGATATGATCTGCAGATCTGCCCGTCCCATTGGCCAGCTGCTGCGTGACCTCAGAGTCGGTGTGAGGCGTTTTCATCTGTTTATGTTTTAAATCTTTCATGACCTGCACACATCAGGGCTCCTAAAGTCAATTTTAACTGAGTCAGCTGGTCTCTGTTTGATGACTGATGATGACATCACTAGATCTGACACAAGTGGTCACGATGAGTCATGTGACTTTCATTCACATCGGATCACGTGATATCACAGCAGTTAGCGGTCAGCTGAGAGGAGCTGGATGTGGGGCTGTTATTGAATACCTGATAGGTGTGTTTAATATACTTTAGTGTGTAAGATGGATAAAAAGCATCGGAGCATCACATTTAAAAATAAAATTAACATATCTGTCAACGCTCATTGATAGCTGCCTCTTCTCCTGTGGTCCAGCCTGCGATCAGCTGTTCTGCAGCTTCCTGTCACGCAGTTTGAGCCACGAGGACCCTTAAAACCCTAAAATTATCCTCCAGCTGGGACCAGCTGGCAAAAGATGCAAACTCAGCAGCCTGCTGAGTGCTTTAAGGTGATACTGTGCAAAGGAGGTAACACCTCGAATCTGATGAAACATCTGGTGACGCATAGCCAAAAACCCGAAGAGGAGAGTCCTGGCCCCTAGCCCTGCCAGTGTAGCAGAAATGATGAGGATGATGATGCAGCAGCAGCCGTTCTTCTCTGCGTGAGTAGCTTCATGTTGTTCGTGTGTAATTTACGTTGAGTAGGCTAACCACGTTATTACATTAATGCATGTAAGGTGAACTAGCAAACATCATCATAGCTACATGCGGCTGTCTTCTTGTTTGATAGAGTGATAGAGAAGGCTAACATTGTTATCTTTTTACAAAAAAACAGCTAAACATGAGAGGTTTTAGGACGAAGTTTGTGTTCTCCATTCTTTAAGCACCGGTTCCAACCAAAGGAGGTATGTTGTATCAACAGAAAAGGCTAACTTGGTTAACATGTTGCAGAAAAAAAGAGACTGCTAAAAATAAAAACATGAGAGGTTTTTGGACCAAGTTTGTTCTCCATTCTTTAAGCACCGGCACCGTTTCAAAAGTACCGGTTTGGATAAAACTAAACGATACCCATCCCTAGATAGGCTTCATGCTGTCAGAGAGAAAACCCACCAATCAGACAACCTTCTGTGAGCAGCACTCGGTGACAGTGGGAAGAAAGAACCCCCTTTTAAAAGAAAGAGCCAGGCTCAGGCAGGGGAAAGATGCTCGTTGTGCTGCTAGAAGGAAGGAAGTCAGATGCTGTGACGTTACGGAGTCACAGAGTCCTGACTGCTAAAAACCACAACTCAGGTTGTTTTAGCTCCTCACAAACACACCTGAGCTGTGCTTTTGAGGAGGTTTTTAAGATGAGTCACAGGGCACGGTATGAAGAGCTGCAGGTGGAAGCACAGGCGGAGTCTGGTTTGTTTTGTTTGAGAGAAGCTGTAAGTCACGTTTATGATCTGTAGGAATCACTTAAAACAGACTGTATGTGAAAGATGGACTTAGCAGCTGTGAGGTCAGCTGGTGTGAGCCCGCGATCTGAGCGTTTTCCCCGCTGCCATCTTTGGGGTTTTGAAATCGGGCGAGTGTTGCCACACGCTCATACAGTCATTGTCTAGCTCCGCCTCCCTGCATCCTCTGTTACTCTAACGGGCCATAACCAAACATCAGTCAGAAACCAGCGACTGAGACCAGAGACTCCTCGGGAAGGTATTCACTGAGCTCGGAGATCAAGCAGGGCTCTTTTTCTCACAGACTTCTATCCAATCAGAGCAGAGGAGACACCCCCTGCTGGACATCCGAGCCAATCCAAGTTTAAGATTCTCCAGCAAGCACGCAGCAGTTTCAACATTACTGGATCACAGGGGGATATGACCTCAAACTGTGTGGGTGTTTCTTTAATCTCATAAAAGTGCGGATGAGGTCAGAGGTCACATGCTGTGATTAAACATTCACCTTTACTGCAGCGTCCTGATGAGAGACGTGACACAGACACGGCACTGGTTTGACTCATGATTGCGTCAGGCCACCCTATCGCAGGCAGTCGTGTGATTGCAGGTCATCTGACTGCAGGTGAACCTTCACCTTCCCTCCTCCTCTGGCGTCGCTCGCCCTGCCTTAGATCAGTTGCTTCTCCCTCCCCGTCTCTGCTGCCTGAGTGTAGGAGACGCTGTGAGAGTTTCAGAGCTGTTGTGTTAATTGTGTTGAGGCGTTGTTCATCTGGAGTGCTTTTTGATTGAACGAGCAGATCAGTGTGATCTCAGCTGCTGTGTGTCATTCATCATGGCGTTTACAGGAAACGCATGAAAATCGCTGAAAATGTGAAGTTCAGTCAGTTTGTGTGTTTCATTGGAGTGTGCAGAAAGCTGCTCTGATGCTTCCTGTGTGCAGCTCACTGATGAAGCTTCTGACTGCATGCTGATTGGACGTTAGCTCTCAGGTTTTACTGCCCCATGTTCATTTTTATTTTTGTTTAAATATTAGTGAAATTTAATTAACAGTGTTTTATATTATTTCTTTAAATCATTTTATCTGAAAAGTGTTTTGAGTGTCTTGAAATTATCCCGTGCCCCCCTTTAGACTCACCCCTGTGTGCCTCCAGGTGAAACTCTTTGCTCTCTGCCGTGCGTGCTATGACATCATGGTCAGCTCGTATATGCTCGTACCTGATATTCACGTGCTGCTCAGCTGTGTTTCTACTCACTTTTTTTTTTTTTTTTTTTTTTTTTTTTTCTTCTAAATGACATCAGAAACAGCAGTATGCGACATTACGTGATGGCAGAGCTTCAGTTCATCCTTTGTCATTTTTTTTTTTTTTTAATAAATAGGACAGGGGGAATGAATGAGAGAGAGAGGGGGAGAGAAAGAAAGAAAACCAAAGGGGAGAAGAGACGGTGAGAAGGGGGGGAAGAGAGAGAAAAAAAAAAAAACTCCTGGGTCACCTGTATGGAGAAAAAAAAAAACAAAAAAACAAACAAACAAAAACAAACAGAGGAGACAGCAAACAACAAAGAGCAACATAATAATAGAGAAAACAAAGCACCATCACAATAAACTAGCTAGTCATAGATATCAGTATTTACTAAGTAATAAACGATATTGTGCAGCACGCAAGATAGACAGCGCACAGTGTGCTTTGAGGCAGCAGCCAAGAAAGCTTTAGTCCGCGTCTGTGAATACCCATGTGTGCATACCTGTGTGGATCAGCATGCTTGCATTCCAAAGGTTTCTCCATGTAATGATCTGCTAGGGAGTGTGGGGGGGCCACAGCCCCGTCCTCCAGGGTGTGAAGCAGGTATGGAGGAGATCAAAACTCCAGACATCCAGAGGCCCCCAGAACACAAGAGACCATGGAAGACCAACAGAGGGGCAGCCGCGCCACTGTCCCAGAAAGAGCTGAGGAGAGTCCCAGATGAGGGCTCGCCCAGCAGCCGCGGAGCAGAAGTCAGGGGAGTTGCAGTGACGCGCCCGTGAGCTCCGCCGGCCCCCAGCTGCGCCTGAGTGACCGAGCCCTAGGCCGAGAGGCCGGGGGCACCCCACCTCCAAAGGGGCCCGAGCGAGCCCCAGGCCCCAGGCCCCGACAAGCGGCCGCCAAGGAGTGAGCCGGTGTGTACCCGGACGCCCACCCCCAGACACAAAGAACCACCAACACACCGACACCTG